TTCAGTCCTCATGTGGTTCTGACATTATAATGCAGCAGCAGATTTCTCATATATAAACTGGAATGAAGCCTGCATATTTTGAAATCAGGAAATCCACCTGAATATCCAAAAATAAATACTTTGGAATGATTATTTCTAAACAGCAATTTCAATTCCATTTGTTGGCAAGCTCTTCTGGACACATGAGCACCTAGTAATGGTTTAGACCACATACTTGTTATTGGCTTATACAGTATCAGTATATAGGAATAATTATTTTACTATTTAATGTTATAGAGTGTTTATTACTAGGAAAACAGGTTCCTACTGAGTGTGAGGGTACTTCTGAGGATGCAAAATCTGCAGCTAGGGCAAAATAAAGGAATGCGACACTGGCTGAAATATTTAAATCAATACTCTTATGGGAGTTCTAGGAATGTTTTAGTTTTCTTCTGTTAGCTAATTCAGTACCCTTTCCAGCACTGTGCTGATAGAGTTTTCTTGTGTATGTACAGATTGCTTAACTGACAGCTCACAAAGACACCAAAATAAGAGTAAAGTTCAAAGAGCAAAAGGTTAGTTATAGTAGAATAGCTATGATAACATTACTTAACAAGACAAACTTGTGACCCAGTAGTATCTTAGGCATATATTGTAAAAAAAAAAAAAAAAACCAAAAAAAACCCCAAAAAACCAAAACTCAAAAATTTCCAGAAGTTAGTAGGTTGTTTTATGTCAGAGAAGTCACTATTTGTACAGCTTTTAGCAGATGGCACTATTTATTTACTTAGACATAACATCAAAGCAAGATTAGTTTTCAAGCCTTTCAAGTGTGTGAAACCTATCTTCCACCAGAAATACCAATCCTTGACCCTTGCTTAGTAAGATTTTAAAGAACATTGGGCTGATACAGACTTTTGTTGTCCTTTCAGAACTAATGCACTGAAAATGCCAGTACAAAGTATAACTTTGACAAATTTGCCTCAGAAAAAATCACTGCCATCCGGAGTTGCTTTTGAAGGCTACAGCTGCCAACAAAAGAAAGCCGACTGTTTCAGGGAACTGAGTCTCTACCTCCATACTACAGATCTTATGCCTTATTATGGATGCATAGAACCTTCAGAGTGAAACACAGAAACTGCAATTTTAGAGAGTTTAAGTTATCTTACGATAATTATTCTGTTTATCTCACATTATAGTTAATTGGCAGATATTTAAATGTCAGTTGTGCTTCATGCTTAGCCTATTCAACTCTGAAGAAGTAGGGAGAGATGGAGAATTCATCTGTGAAAATAGCTCCAGCAAATATCATTGATGGACTCCTGTAAAAGTTTCATAAATGTGTGAATTGCAATACCCAGGTGACAATAACCTGGCCAAACCTTAAGGATTTTCCCTAATGAGAACTGAATTTAGGTAACTACTCTGCTGCTTTCTGCACCTTGAAGATGGCAGGGTTTCTTTGAGAACTGATTTTCCAAAGTACTGGCACATCCTAAATTACTTTTCTCTAGCTGACTCTCAAAACCAGCACAATTATGACAGGATGTTCAAAACTATTCAGACATTTGCAGAAGTCTGCATGAGATACCCTCCACCTGCCCCCCCACGGAAACTGGCAATTGAAATAACTGGCATGGGCAACTCATGAATGATGGAAACATCAGAGCATAATGGAAAGTGCAAGCAACCTAAACTATGGGTGTGACGACAGGTTTTGCCAGTGGTAAGGTCTGCTGTCACAGCCATAAAGTGCAGCAAACCACACTTAAAACACACAAAAAAACCCCCAAACAAACAAACAAACCCAAAAAAAACACAAAGAAACAAAACAAAAAAAAAAAAAAAAGCCCAAAAAATTCACCTCCAAATATACTTTCAAGATTCTTTGTTAACAGTGTTTATGGGAGTAGACTCATGACTGGAGTGTGCTGAAGCAGATGGAGTATCTGTCAGAACAGCAGCAGGTCACAGGGTTCCTTCACCACTGAAAAGTGTTGGAGGAACAAACTTACAACGTGCAGAGCATATTAGAGTGATTATTAAGGAGACATAATAAATTACAAATAAAAGCAACAACCACATGCTTTAGAGGCTACTGTGGGAAGATGAAAAAAGGAATAATGAAAAACAATTTAAATGGACAATCTCAAGAAAATTATCTTGACATTGAGATACTAGCTCATGAAAGAGTCTGCTCAACAGAGGGACTGAAGTTGTATTGTCTGAAAGCTCAGCAAGACACCTCAACAAAAAGATTAGATAAGATTAGGCACTGCCATTTACACAAAAAGAGCAGGTGAGGTAGCACCTCTTCAACATTTTGACTTTTTAAGGCTGTAATTCATACACAAGCATGCCCTATTCCTCAATAATTATGTGAAGTGGATATTGAAGAGTACATGTCCTTGATCTGGGGAAGAGACTCCAGTTATCATTGATGGAATTTCAGAATGAAGCTTTGGCACAGTTATACAGCCCTACGTATGATAAATGTGAATACGTAAATTAAAATAATACAAGAAAAACCCCCAAAAACCACTATGTTCCAAGGCATTACATTGGATAAGGTTTATTCATTATTCTGTTTACCCATTGCTACAGTATAGAAGTAATAGTTTGTAACATAATAGAAGAATGTGAGTATTAAAGCAATGAGCAAGTTTAAGATGTTTCAATGCCTGGAGAAATGTATTGCCCCAAGTAATGTACTTGTACTCTGTCCACATGCAGAAACAAACAAACAAACAAAACCAAAACAAACAAACAAACAAAAAAAAACAACAAAACAAACACAAACCAAACAAACAGAAAAAAAACAACAACAAAAAAAACCCAACCAAATTCAGCATAAACCAGGAAAAAAATTAGTCAAACCAAAAGTAAATTATAGGTGAGAGAAAGATTACACCTGCATTCTCCAAATAACCTGAGTCCCGAATGATAGATGACAATGAAATTCCTTTTTCTGTCTGGATCACATCTGTAAATCCTCTCTTTTTTCACAAAACAGAGCTAGAATTGATGGTGAACTCTTTAACCGAGAAGAAAGCAAGGATGGCAAGTCTTTTGGTGCAATGAATATTTAATTACTACAAGAGAAGTCATACAACTACAAAAGACATGATTGAAAAACCCCACAAGGAATCATTTTATCTCCTTTTAAATAAGTCATTCCACTGGAAGACGAGACTTCATATACCTCTGGGCAGAGGAATAAATTATCATTTGAGCAGTATTTGAGGCATTTAACTACTGTTCTCAGTAAAATGGGAAAGGCACCACTTTTTTGTTTTGTTTTCTTTTGTTCTAAAAGAATTTTTAAAAATTAGACAATTAGAGCCCACTGCTCAAACAGGGAGAGGAATGAATAGCCTGCAGCTATGCATGGGGTCTGTAATTTGAAACAGCAGTCCTACCCTGCAGGGGCAGAAGCATGTTTGGGCTTTGCAGCTGGAATAAAAAGCTGACATGCTTTGGGAATTGTCCTGAGAGAAGCAGAGGTACCAGGGACCTTGGGGATTCACACCTCATTAAAAACAAAGTGAGGCACCAGCTTTGAAATGTCCAAAGTGGGCTACAGGCTTGGTGTAAATACTCACCACCACACATCCTTTTTCAACTCTCTGAACCAAGGAAAGATGAAATTTCCAAGGAAACTGAAACTATGTAGGCCACTAAAGCAACAAAATGCTTGAAGCAGAGACTTGCACATATAAAACTTTTCCCTAAAGTAAGATTTGCAGGACTTCCAACAGGGCTTCAAGTGTTCTTCTATTTCAATAAAAAATGCCAAAAATATGCTACATAAGACAGCATAAACAAAAAAATGGGCTGGTAAAAAAACCTGTGAAAGGTAGAATTCTTCCCTTCCCTGGTCTACTTGTTTTCTAGGGCACACCTCTATCTTCAGTCTTGTTTTCAACCCAGTAGCCTTTCACTGGCTTCCTGCATGGTACCAATCCCCATGGTGAGCCAGGTCCCTTGGAAATGTCCTTCCACTGTCACCAAGCCACTGCTTTACTACACCTGTGTCCCGTGGTCACTTCCCTGCTGTGACCAACTGTGTGGTCCCTGTGATGGCCAGAAATGTCTCTACCTGTGAATGGTCACGCTGCCTTTCATGGGAGGTGTAATATCTCTGCTGCACAAATAATGTCTCTGTGACCCTGAGTGTAGCAGCCAAGGGAGACAACTGGCAGCATTTCTCCCTCCTTTAACAGCCCAACTTTTCAGAGGAATGTGTGTTAAACAAGGTGAAGCTAAAAAACCAAACACGTCTCTGTCACCATTCTCAAAACCTCATGACTGGTTCAGTGCCTGTCTGATGTAACACAAAACAATCATACTGAATTACCAGGACCACAAATAACAAAGGGAAGGTACAACTAACTAGATGAAATTAACAATCTCTTATAGCATGTTTTGCAACCCAGATCTATTTTCAGATAGCCTACTGAAAAAGTTGTGTGCTGAACTTTAAATCCCTTAAATATCATAATACATACTTTTACCTAGTAGCATATTTAAATTTATTACAGTTTGCTGATCCAACACTACCTTTAAATAGCCACTTTTCCAAGTACTCTTGATTCTCAGTTCATCCAACCCAATTTGCTTCTGAATTCACAGAGATATTGTTTAATCAGTTATAAAACAGCTTAAAGAAAAACCCAGAAAAAAACCCTACATTTGTTCAAGTCACAAGCTTTAAATATATTAAACCAGCAGCTATATTGCACTTTACCAGATAACTGTTTTCTATATAAGACATTTCTTACTGTTTCACTTCACAATTCAAAATCTGCATAATGACACTTCAATTCCTCAAGAGCCTCATCTAGTCCTAACAAGTTAGTACAAGTAGTCAGAGGCACTTTTGATAAACAGTGTACACAGGAAATCGTTGAGAGAGACAATTAATTTGGATTCATACTTGCAGTCATTTATCCTTCCCATTTTTCTGCAACCCCCTGCACATATTTTTTTCCAGTCAAATAAAGCTAGCTGATTCTTCATACCTGTGTGTTTTGTAAAAGAGACATCTCTTCAGGGGGACCTTAATCACATGTTCCTGAAGGCCCACAAAAAGGACACTCTGGCTGTGCAGGATCTGAAGGCTCCTGATGGGCTCTCGCTGACTTTTTGGCAGGAGTTCAATTTCCTCAAGCAGGCAGCTGCTTGAAGTCTGGTTCACTGGGGCAAGTACTTTCTTAATAGTGCCATAGTCTGAAAAGACAAGAGGAAAATGAGTTACTAAAATCACACTAGCAATTCTACCTGCTTGGTGTCATTCAGTGAATAAATCTTTGTGTTGGATGTTTTCAATGAAGCCTCAGAATGCAGGATTATTTTGACTGAAGTTTCCTTATGTATTATAGTACAGCTAAAAGAAGTTACAAAACTTTAATGTCTGTTTTCATGTGATGCAATACATTTAAAAAAGAAAAAAAAAAGGAAAATATTTAAAAAGTTATTAGTGCAGAACAGCCTTCACAGCAGTAGTCACAAAACAACAAGGTTTCAAAGTCTGGCTTGATAAATGCACATTCATGCCAAGGGTTACTGATTTCAGTCTACAGGATTGTCCTACACTTTACTATATTTAAAGCAGTTTAAAAAGCATTAAATTCCATAATTTCCCATTTGTTTTAGTATTCTTTGTGTTAAAAACTATGGAGTTTAGATATGTATCACACTGATTTAATAAAGCACGTGTATATGAGTATGTGCAGGTCTTGAGTCTAAGTGAATATGAATGAACGAGGCTGAACCTCTTCTTCTTACTTATCCTGATTTTGACCTCTGAAAAATCATAGCTTTTAGCATTCGCTCTTCACTTCTATTCTTAATGTGATTTCTCAGGAAAGACATAACGCACTGAAAACCAGTGTTAGAGTATATGATAACATTTATGACTCACTCTTGCAAAGTTTTAAAATAATTTAAAACTATCAAAGTACATTTGTTCTGAACACAAAGGACCACATTCTTACACTGATAAATATCTTAGGAAGCCGCAGCATTATGCAATCTTTTATGTGCCAGCAATAGGAAGTATTAAAGATCCAATACTGCAAACACATGCAGAGATAAACCCTGAAGTCTGGGAAGACTTCCCTTTTGAGTTGGTAACAATGGCAAGGGGAATGTTTGGGAAGGCCTGCTCTGCAGTCCAGAAAACAGGGGGTTTGACATCACCAGCACAAGGCCAGAGCTGGCAGTGCAGGCTCTCAGGATGTATCTGGCCCTGGCTTGGTGAGTACTGGTTTTATCCATGGCAGGAAACGCCTGGTGGCCAAATACCTCTGTCCCCCTACACCAGCTCCATCCACCCTGGGAGCACCTGAGGCCAGGGGCTGGCACCCCTACACAGCCACTGTCCCCTCCAGGGTAACTGGGCTGAGGGAGGGCACATGACATTCCAAAACTTTGCTTGGGAAGTGGTGAGGAACAGCAAGTAAGCAGCTCTAAGAAAATACAAAAAAAGCAACCTCAAATAGACTCCAAAACTGAAGAGAAGAGAGAGAACCAAGATGACAGTAACTGTTAGAAGCTTCTCATTTTCCTGAGAAAGACTGAAACACTTATGCATAAGAAACACTTAAGCATAAGATATAACATCATATTATAATTCTATTAAACAGTCAAAATTAATTAGATAAATCATAAATTATTAGCTCAGTGTACAATATGGATTCCTTTTAGTCCATAGAATCTATAGATCAAAATTTTGATCACACCAAATCATGTATGCATGTTAAAATCTGCCTAACCTCTCAAGTTTTAATATAATCACTTCATGCACCTGTTTACATTTTTCTCCTTTTTTGATATAAACACGCTTGACCATTTAATAGGAAAAAACCTTGCAGTAAACTACATTTTTAATTTTTATTAACCTGTTTGATATTAAAATATCTAATTTGATGATCACTTTTTTCCCAAACAACGTAAAACAGACTTATATTCAAAATCTAATTAACTTGTTGCCAACACTCAGTTTTGCCCCACAATTAAGCAATAAGCAGCTCAGCTCAACAACATAACAAGCAGCATTCCACTGATGATTACTGGACACAAAAATCTTGACTATAATTACACCAAGTTTCATGGTCAAAATATGGTCTGAAGCATGTCCCAACATTTCAGAGCCTGTATGTCCCTGTTTTGGCTGAGGCAGAATTAATTGTCCTCACATTGGCTGGTATGGGGCTGTGTTTTGGGTTTGTGCTAAGCACAGGGCTGATAATACAGAGAATGTTTTTGTTATTGCTGGGCTTCTTGATGAGAACCAAGGCCTTTTCAGCTCCTCATACTGCCATGCTGGAGAGGAGGTTAGGGGTGCCTGGGAGGAAATACAGCCAGGACAGGTGACCCCAAGTGACCAAAGGGATATTCCATATGACATCATATTCAGTTATAAAGCGGGAGAAGAAGGAAGAAGGGGAGAACATTTGGAGTTACGGCATTTGTCTTCCCTAGTCACCATTACACCTGATAGAGCCCTGCTCCCCTGGACATGGCTGAACACCTCCCTGCCCATGGGAAAGAGTAAATTAATAGTAAATTGATTTGCTTTGCTTGTGTGTGACTTTTGCTTTTCCTATTAAACTGTCTTTATCTCAACCCATGTGTCTTTTTCCAATTCTCACCCTGATCGTGCTGGGGAGGGGAGGGGAGGGGCTGCATGGTACTTGGAGGATGGCTGGGGTTAAATCACAACACTATGTTAATTACTGAGTGAAAGATGAACAATTGTCTTTTGAGCATAGAAGTTGGAAAAACATACTAAGAAGAAGAAGGAGCAGTGAGATAATTTTACAGATGTAAATTAATTGATATTGCTTTATAGATCAATCAGTGCAACTCTATATCATATGCTTAACTGGCAGACAACAGATTCAGTGTGATTCATGACACATTGTATTTGGCTTGTCACAGTTTTCCTGCATGAGACAAAAATCAGGTACGCACGCATTCAGCATGTGCTTCTTCTACAGAGCAATATTTCTTCCTACCACTGTGCTGGGTCTGGCATCTACAGACTGAATCATTTGCTGTCACCTTCCCCAAGAGAAGAAAAAACACATGACTGCAGGCCTCCCTCCCCAATGCCTACATACACATTCAATTTAGAAATACATCTTTGGACAGGAGAATATGATCAAACACAAATACTTTGTGTTTCTTGTGGCTCATTTATTATAGATGGCAAACTTACAGTTCTTTTTATTCAAGTGTATGACCTGGAGTTCATGGTTACAGCAATATGCCATCCCAGAAAGAAATAAAATATTCTCACTTTGAGAAGTGCAGCACAAATGCCTTCCTCAAGACATCTGTCATTATTCTTGTTCTTCCTTCTTATCTTGGCATACATTCTTCATTCCTCATATTTCCTTTTGCTCTCTTTCAGCATCTCCCAAACCATTCCTTTTTCTTTTGTTGTATAAGAGGATTAGCACTCAGACACATTGAAAGTCACAACTGACTGAGCTTCAATTGAAGAAACAGGGCCTGAGATCCCACAGATCACCAGGAGGAAACACTGCTCTTCTCAGGAGCAATGTGGGTCATATGCAAACTCAACAAAAAGGAACAGAATGTTACCTGAGATCTGCCTCAATAAACTTCCCTGCTTCTGTCTTCTGCAACCTCTCTTCTCTGCCTTCAATTCCTACCGTGTATGACTTTGATTTTGCAAGGACCACTTGGGAGGCCAAACTAGGGTGAGGATCTGGTTGCACTCCACAACTTTGAGACAGGCACAGATTGAATTTGTGTTTTGCTCACCAGTCTATGGTACATAGCTAGGTTGTGTAAATATCAATGTCCTTAAAATATACTAGCAGGCAACATAGCTATATCAGATTTCCTTACAGTGGAAAATCATAACCAGTGATTCCAGTGCTTCCAAAAGCCAGGTGTTCTGCTCCCGTGTTTCCAATTCTACTACAATGTGTGTCACATTATGCAAAGCCTCCTGCAAAGACTGCAGATTTCCTAAAGATCTTGTAGAAGTCCCATCTTCAAAAGTGTGGTCTGTCTGGCCATTTTCAAACCATAGTTGCAAAGCAAAATAGGGTGTAAAGAACAGTAGGGAAAAATAAACATGAAACATGTCTCTAGGGCATGGAGTTTTTCAGATCTGTCATAATCTTTCAAGTGCATATTTAGTTATATAATCAAACTAAGTGTCCACTTCTGCCAAGACACAGCTGAGAAAGATAGTAACCACAGAGCATCTTAACAGATGTAACTTTATTGCCACGGACACAGCGAAAGCTGCAGTTTCATCACAAATGTCAAGCCTGAGCCTAACAGACATTTAAGAATTCAAATGAATGGCATCTTTGCATCCTGACTGTAAGCAAGACATACTGGGATAGATCCAGACACTTGACAGCCTTTTTTTAAGGATGGCTGACTATATAGAGGAGTAGTAAAAGATAATGACATTGGCCAGAATGAGTAAATAATATGCTTTGTTAGCTTGTACTGCAGTAGTTTAAAGAGACTGGCAAAACCAGCAACTGAACATTAGAAATCCAAGCACTGTGAATTAAGAGAAAAAATCTTGGTGAAATATTGCTATGTGATGTGTAGGAGACTATGAAGCACTGCATGGAGAGCCTGGGACGGTGTTTTAGAGAACATGCTTAGAGGCAACAAAGTCTGTAAAGAACAAAATTATAATTGGACAAAATGAAAGGACGATTTCTAAAAGTGAAAAATAAAGTTTAAGATGTAAGACATGTAAATCATAGCCAGCCATGGAAAACACTGCAAGAGTGCAGCTGGAATCATTATAACATCTTAGGTGGTAACTGCAAAGCAAAACAGAAAATGAACATACAAAACAAACAGTAGATGCAACAAACTAATAAACTCATAATTCCCTGAGTTTCCCAACAGAAATAAAAACACTCAAGGAAGCTTTAGCAAATTCTTGCTATAGAGAAGAATAAATATTTACATGAGCTATTATGTTTACAAAATATTACTGCTTTCTTCAAACCAACAAATCATCATGAGGCAGTATAGAAGTAAGTGCCTTTCACTTAGTCAAAAGAAGAGAAAAAATCTTCACCCATTCATTTTTGAGAGGGAAGCACTTTCAATCTTAACTCTTGCCATAGAACCTTGGAGAGTGTGTTGGTCTCCAGAAAGCAACTGAACCAGCACCAGGAGACAGAATCCAAACCAAGGTTTGCAGAAGAGAAGCC